TAAATCATTTTCAATGAATTAAAAGGTTAAGTTTTAAGATAATATAAAAAAGAACTAGAAGAAATATAAGTGAAGATGTATCTGATCCTTATATGAGGAGGGACTTTCTAAGAACAAGAGGAAGAAACCAAAAGAAAAATATTGATATATATATTGATAAAAAAAAATTCTCCATGCTAAAGAACCATAAAAAGTAATAAAAGTCAAACTACTAACTTGAACAGACTATTTTTACTAAGTGATTTTTACTACTAACATTAAAAGGTGTGTTACAGAGGATTCTGGGAAGATCGCAGAGTAGAAAGCACATGAATCTGTCTCCTCACCCAAATAACAATTGCCCTGGCAGAATCTGTCTGATAGGACGGTTTCAGAGTCTATTAAAGGCTTGCAGCTTTTTAAGGGAAGGCGTGAATGGTGAATTGCAGTTCATGTGGGTCAGTTTCAGCTCTTGGGGGACAGTGAGTACCAATCCCCCGCCGCCAGCCCTGTGACAGAGCCAGCATGCACGTGCTCCTGGAGCCGCCTACACACAGTTTGCAGGAGTAAGGGTGAACAAAAAACACCCTGTCCTCAAAACACCAGGGATCTCTCTTCTAATCTTGATCACTGCTTCCACCACAGAGGCGCAGACATTGTTTCTGCACTTCCCCTTGCTGTGTTGTTGCAAGCTTCTCCTCCTCTGGCTGAAATGACTGCAGGGAACTTAAACGGCTGGTTTTGTTTTGTTTTGTTCTGCGTAACTCCCTTCCAGTTTTCTGGTTTGGTTTTGTTTTGTTTTTTGCCTTTTTCTTTTCGGGAGCCAGACATTAAAGACAGGAGCATTCAAAAGCAAATGCATACATGGGGAAAATTAAAAAGTAACTATACACACCCAGAAAAATGTACAGACTGAAAAAAAGACCTGTGAAGACCTTAGGTTTGCACCTCAGGCTGATCCTTGGCACAGAGACAGCCCACAACAATTTTTTAAAAACCAATAAATAAAAACAGCAACCCCTTAGTGTTGGTTCACACTCCCAGCAGGGCCTTCAGAATGTTAGGTCAGGCCTGCTGCGGTGTGGGTGTCTGGTGTACAGTCCAGTGCCACGAGAAAAATGCAAAGAATTGCACAAAAGTTAGATTAGAAAATATAGTTTATGTAGAAAGTAAATGAGAGAGAGAGAGGAGATTTACCTCCTCAAGGTAGGGAAGGAGGACCAAAGCCAGAAAACATGACAGTGGCCAAAGCTCCAAGAGCGCATGGCCACACCAGAGTCTAATAAGACAATGGCTGCTGGCTGCTCATGGTTGAGTCCTTTTCATCCTTCCCTTTGATGGAGGAAGGTCGTTAAGGTGATTGGGTGGTGGTCTGCTCCACGTCATCATGAAGAGGCAGGTAAGCACAGGTACTGAGCCAGGGGATGGAGAGCAGAGAGAGGAATGGGTTAGTCGCATGACTGCTGCCATAGTGGTGGGGTCTGTCTGTGTCGTGAAGGTCCCAAAGGGCTGATTAGGTTAACTTGGGTCTTATGGGTGGAGGCAAATATTTGGAATAGAAAAGTCCCATTACAAAGTGGGCAAAAGATATGAATAGACACTTCTCAAAAGAAGACATACGAGCAGCCAACAGATCCATGAAAAAATGTTGTGTTTGTTTTTTAATTTTTAGGAGCCTTTGCCCATATCATTAGCATAAGAACTTCATTTTTTAAATGTATTTATTTTTTGAGACAGGATCTTGCTCTGTCACCTAGTCTGGAGTGCAATGGCGTAATCCGAACTCACTGCAGCCTCAAACTCCTGAGCTCAAGTGATCTTCCTGCCTCAGCCTCCCGAACAGCTGGGACTATAGGCATGCGTCATCATGCCCAATTATTTCTTTTTTTTTTTTTTGAGATAAGGTCTCGCTATGTTGACCTGGCTGCAGTGCAGTGGTGCGGTCCTCTCACTGCAGCCTCCAACTCCTGGCCTCCAGCAATCCTCCCAGCTCAGCTTCCCAAAGTGCTGGGATTGTAGGTATGACCCACCACACCCAGTTTGTGAATTTTTTTAATACCACTAAATTGTACACTTAACGGTTAAGATGTTAAATTATGTCATATAGATTTGACCACAATAAAAAAAATTGAGAAAAGATATTAGTCATTAGGAATTAACTTTATCACCCTCTTTCATGCATCTATCTCAAAACCTGGGTTTTACCCAGGTATCCTCATCTCCTTTCTTAGAGAACAGTATGGCAATGAGCTGTTCCATACTGGAATGCAAACTGGTTTCAGGTTAATAAATCTGAGCATAAGTCCAAGTTTACCACTTGAACTTGGTGAGGATTACTTACGTTGATCTCTCTGAAGTGTATTTTTTGTGTTTACATAATCATTGAGAATTAAACATGCCAGGCATGTTGGCTCTTACCTGTAATCCCAGCACTTTGGGAGGCCGAGGCAGGAGAATCATTTGAGCCCAGGAGTTCAATACCAGCCTGGGTAACATAGTGAGACCTTGTCTCTACAAAAAAAAAAAAAATTTTTTTTAATTAGCTGGACATGGTGGTGCACGCCTATAGTACCAGCTACTCAGGAGGCTGAGGCAGGAGGATTGACTGAGCCCAGGAGGTCAAAGCTACAGTGAGCTGGTACATGCCATGCCACCGCACTCCAGTCTAGGTGAGAGTAAAAGCCTGTCTGAGAGAGACAGAGAAAGAGAGAGAGAGAGAGAATTAAACGTAATAAATATCTCATTTTCCTAAATGTGAGTGGCTTGCTTACAAATGTGTCTCACTGTAAGTGAAAACTGCTATCACATAAAGATAATGGCCGTGTCTAAATGAAAGTTTAAGAGCAAGCTTGTTTAGCTTTTTCAAATTGTCTAAATGGAAACCATGGTGTCTGTGATAAGACATTGTAATGAAGGATAAGAGAGAGGAACAAATTGCAGTGAGTTGGAATTGGAGAAACAGAAGTATTTTGTGCTTTTACTGTTCTTGTCTTCTAAATGCTTTGAGAATATAGAAATCAGAAATTAAATATTGGTTAACTCTCTGCACAAAAGCTAATGTTGCCTTGCAGTCTCTGCCTGCTCTCCTCGTTGAATTCCCTGTTTGTCAGCTGCCTAGTGTCTCTGTGTCACAAGATTTGTACTTTGCAGAGTGAATGAATGTGTTGTCCAACCACTGGGGGCAAATGACACTGACTAGTTCTGTGGCCTGAGATGTACCTTTAAACAGTCCGAACCCACTTTCATATCTGTAAAATAAGAATAACAACTCCTGTTATCATCATCATTATATCAGATGAGCTACTGACAAAATTTCAGGCTAATAGTAGCCAACTGAAATATTAAAATTTTGACTTTGTTCTTTTAAAAAATGTATGTTGGCCGGGCTCAGTGGCTCAGCCTATCCATCCCAGCACTTTGAAAAGCCAGGGTGAGTGAGTGGATTGCCTGAGCCTGCGGGTTCAGGACCAGCCAGGGTAACTTGGCGAGACCTCATCTCTACAATAAAATCCAAAATTAGCCGGACACTGTAGCATGCACCTATAGTTCCAACTACTTGGAAGGCTGAGCCAGAAAGATCACCGGAGCCCAGCAGGTCAACACTGGGGTGGCCATGAGCATGCCACTGCATTCCAGCCTGAGTGATAGAGTGAAACGCCACCTCAAATAAATAAAAATAAATAAATTCAGAAAGGTATGTTGCAAATCAGTAAGAAAAAGGTGGAAATCACATTGGAATGTGATAATCACATCAAACGTCATAATCAAAAACATAGAAATTGTAACCAAATAAGAGCAAATTAAACCAGTGACACTTTCTACCTCTGTTATTGATAACGATTAAATATTTGCCATCGTAAATATGAGGAGAATATATTTAACAACCATCCTAGGCCACTGAAAGCTAATTAAAGTAAATGGCTAGGCCAGGCTTGGAAGCCACTATTCAGGGCAGATTTGGGGCCATTCTGGTGGCAAAGGGGCTTTGCGACTTTATTATGATTGAGGCAATCTTCCAGACATTTTTAGTCAGCTGATGCTATAAGTGACCACACAAGAACAAAAAAAGGTCACCAGAAGGCCTCTGCCTGAGAAGATGAAGACTAATAAGACATGGTTGATGGCTTTAAAACATTGAAGAGTATGCACTGAGTAGTATGCTCACTGAAGTCCAGAACTGGGGGCCGGGGTCCTAAACAAATGAGGAAGCTCCGTTTGATACAGTGAGTTATAAACACTGAAGTCATGACCTCAGAATAGGTGATAAGCACTTGCACAACAGAAATGCAAATTTTATATTTATAACAAATACAAAACCAAAATATGATAACAGCAAATACGATAGAAATTAAGTGGTGAATAGACTTTTTAAGCTCAAAAACATGCGTGGGGCAACAAATTGAATATTGATTGATCAGTTACAAATGGATCGTGGAATGGTTAAAGCATCACATTCTTTTTAGCTTAGAATGATTCTTTTTATTGTAGAACTATTGACGGTAACCAAGAATTAGCACCATGGTTTGCAAACATTTTTCTGTTTGGCTTTTTGGTACTTCTGCCTGGAGAAGTTTCATCTCCCTCCCACGGCACTAGTAGTCTTCAGTGACAATTTTGGAGAATGACAGTTTGGATTCTCATATTAGAAACAATTCTGAGGAATGGAAGCCTCCCATTCTACAATGAAATAGAAATCATAAACCCATATAAAAGGAAAGTCATCGGAAAATAAAGGTTTTATTTCATATGTGGAATACCTGGATCCCTTTGTCCATATGCTGTTCTGGGTCTCCCCCACTTGGGTGTCCCTGTGTGGCTGAAAAGGCCACTTCAGACAGTGCCCACTTCCGAAGCACCCCGAGTGAGCACTTCCCTGGGTGACCACGCTTGTGGAGTTGGGGCCTCACCGGTCATGATGCACGTCCCCCTGATGGGAAGTGGTTTCTGGCCCCTGTGTTTGTCACATTTATCGCTTGGACACGCGGTCTCCCTAACTGTCCGCCTCCTCTCTGTTCTCCTAGGATTACTGGCTCTCCTTCCTCTACAAGCGCCTGATCGGTCCCAAAGTCTTGGCTGTGCACGTGGCCGGGCTCCAGCGGAAGCCACGGCCAGGCCGAGTGATCCGGGACAAGCTGAGGATCTATGCTCACTGCACAAGCCACCACAAGTAAGTCTCCACGGAGATGGCACAGACATGCCACCCCTGAGGGTCGTCAGCCCTGGGCCACTCCGGATTCCTTCGGAACTCATCTCAGGTCGCTGGTCTTAGTTGAAAAGTACGTCTGGAGTCACCATCCTGCTCTTTTGTGGGTTTCAAATAATTTCTGGTAAATAACTTTTTCTCCAAGTAACCCCCCTTTTCATGCTTACAGGATTATTCATGAAAGGTTCATAAAATCCTTGCCATTTGTTCATTCACTTCTTCATCCAACACATTTTTATTGGGCATTTTCTCGGTGCCAGTTGATGTAATGCCCGTAAGGCTTTTTGAGTGCCAAAGCCTAAGCCAAGGCAAGAGTAATCAAATCTTTCCCTGTGATCCACTGGGAGAGCTTGAGAAACTAAACCTCTCCTTCTAGGATGCGTGCTGGGGAGCCACACCCCTGGAAACGCAACCCCAGACCAGTGTGGGGCTCCCCAGAACTGAGGTGACCAGCAAAAGTAGTCATGCCAGCTTTAGAGCCATTTTCAGGATTTCAGACATCTTCTCAGCTATTTTAAGAGTTAAGAGACTAAATGAAATCTGGGTTTCCTTTGTCAGGGGCTGGTCTTATAACAACCCTACGTGGTAATGTGGGGTTATCCTTCGCTCCCTCTTTTTTTAACCAATCGTTTTCTTTCATTCTTAAATTCCTGACATTACAGAACTAAGCTGAAATTTACTAACATTCCACTCTTAAATTTCTTATATTTCATATCAGCAAACAGAAATAAAATTCCTGAGCCAAAAAACCCAAAACTAGACTAAAACAGGGAAAAGCTTATAAAACTAAATATGGATTCCAGCATCAACAGCCGAACTTCTCTGTTAAATTCTTAGCAGATGATAAAGTTGTGTAGCGACTGAATACTTACAAATTATTTAAAGCCTTACAAATTCTGGTCAGTGATTATTTACAATCACGGATCAGAAATTACAGTTGGATCATGGGAAAACAGGCAGCAGAAAGGGGTTTATGTGGGAACCCACACTGTACTAGCTGAAGCCCATGCCCTTCTCCGAGGAAAGTCTGGCACTGATTAGATACCGGGCCAGCCTAATACCGGCAGCAAAACCAGTGACTGTCACCTGTCTACCAGAGGAGCGTTCCGCCGGGCTGGCTGTAGCACTGGTTGTCATTAGAGTTGTCTTGAACACAAACAAGAAGATCACTGATCGGTGAATGAAGTCTAGCAGATTAAAAAAAGCTCAAGCATAAGCCCATAAGAGAAGAATTTAAAACCAGGCCGAAAGCAAGACCCATCTGGCTTTCTTACGTCACTTCCTGTTTAAGGCCAAACAGGCTGCCCTGGAAAACAGAATTACTTCTCTTCATGCACCGAAAAGCTGGCAGGAGGGCCGCAGGGTTAAGTCAGGGCCTCCAGCCAGACCTTCATTCCCCAGCCCGGCGGGAGCAGATCAAGGGCGTGGACGGCACAAAGAGCCCGCAGTGGTCAGGTTACACAGATGCTCCTACCCCTTCCTTGATGAGAGAGGGGCCAAGCCAATTAATTGATCACGATAAGATTTTTCAAAGAATCACTCTGAGCAGAGCGGGGCCAGGGGCCAGTTGTCCTGTTGGTAGATACAAGTGCCTATTGTGGATGAGGAGAGGCCGACCTGGGCAGAGGCCAGGGGCTTTCAACATCCCTTTTGCCCAACAGGAAGCTCAATCCAATACCCGTCAGAGAGCGACTGCTTTGTGGCCTTGGTGGGAGCTATCTGATCACCACACAAGGAAACATTGTATTCCTTGTCTCTGCCCCAGCCCTGAGGTAACCACCCAAAAGGTGGACCCCCAGCCTCCAAAGAGAAAAATGACTCCGGGCACCTTCTACCCCTGTTGGAGAGCACATCAGTCTGCGGCCTTTATACCACCAGTCTGAGGACTCAGGGGAAAAAATACCTGCAGCCATGGCTTGGCAGGACTCGCGCGTCCGCACAGAGGCTTCCTCAAAGGGTCTCATTCCGATGTTCACCCAAGCGTTCTTCAGTGGTGTCACTGAATATTCTGAATCCACCATGAACTCAGGGCCAGTGTCTCATGCGTTTTTGCATTCTCGAGGTCTAGCATGATGACTGGCAGGAGGATGAATGACTGGTGAATGCAGAAATAGAGCACCAAGATGCTGCGTGTAGCTATAGCCCTCTTCCACTTGACATTAACGCATTGGGCAGAAGGAAGCGGTGACGTGGAGCGGTTGAGAACTCTGCCGTTCCCTAGCCTGAGGCCTCAGACAGGTGTGAGATCATTTGGATTCGAGACCCTTCTCCATTGCCGGCTGTCTTCTGCTTTCCATGGGAATTCCCCCAGAACCTCTCTGGGGCAACGGTGTCACTGACTTCTATCAATCAGTACAACCTCCCCATGAAAAAGAAAGAAGACTGTCAAAACTCATTCTGCACATGACCCTAATGATAACAACGGGGGTGATCCTTCCTCCCTGGTAGATCCTGGAAGAAAGACCACAGTGGAAGCATGAGCCGGATGACATGCAGATCTGCTCCATGCCCACGGGCATCGGGGCCCGGCTGGGAAGGCACACAGACAGAAGTGTCCGTTCTCCCCTCTGGGAAGCCATGAGCCCTGTCTGTGCCCCTCCTCTGCCCATCTCCCACAGCAGGCACGACTGACTCATTCCGTTTATTTGTGGGCAGTGAGTCAGATCAGATTGGCCACAGTGGCTTCACACCATTCAACCTTGACCGATACTCTGAGAAGACGTGCCCCAGGTCAAAACAGGGATTGGATGAGAAAGTAAAAACTTACTAGTAGGACAATCCAGAGAAAGTGTGCACTTCAATGTCTCGAACACTTGTGGTGTGGGAAACATCTGCCAGATATTTGCGGTTATATTATTTTATTGAATTCCAAAGGTTCATGATGGCATTGAAGGTGCAAAGAATTTTACATTTGGAAAGAGCCCTTAGAGGACATTTGGGCCAGTGTCCTATTCCACACAGGAATCGGTCTTACGTCTCCCTGACAGCCATGCAGCCTCTGCTTGGACACCTCGCTGCCTCTGTGGTGGCCTCTTACAGTGCGGGTCACTTCTGACCTCGTAGCACTGTCTCCTATGATCCGTTTAGGAGAAGAAGTCAGATACTTATACCAACACCAGCAGGTGCTTTTCTGCTTTCTGTTCTGCAGCTAAGAAGTCGGGGCGCCGGCAGAATGACAGTTCTCACCCCAGGTCTTCTTGTCTAAGGAGCAATCACGTTTTGACAAGGAAACCTTTTTTATAAGCCATTCTGCTGAGATGATGTATTTTTCTGGGGTGGAGCCGAGGTCCTTAGTCAAGTTCAGAACCAACTGGAGCCTGGTGGATGTTGAAGCAAAATTGAGCCTTTTGGGGTTCAAGTTCGTCTTTATTGGCAAAGCATGACTTCCTGTTTTTCAGAAGAAGTTTTTATAAAGACTCATAAAAAAGGTTTCTGAGGCTTCTTGGACATCAAATGGCTCTTACAAAACAATATTTTGATGAGTTCAGTGTAAATGAATCAGGAACATGTGGATTAAATTTCCCTTAAAATACACAGGGGCTTTGAAATTAAGGGGAAAAATGTTTGGCAAAACATGGCCTGACTTTTACCGAACCCAAAACCTCTGAGTTGGATTTGGACACAGTGGATCAACACCAATTCAAGCACATTGACTTTCAGTGGGAAGGACCGTGGACTGCAAACTTCGTCCTCCCGTTCTTTCCCAGCATCCAGCCTCACTGGAGACGTTTCTAGAACATGGCTGTCTTCTATCTGGAAGTCAAGACGCACCTCCCCACAGGACATTCCCCACCTCCTACATGTAGGATATTCCAGTTCCAACCTTCACTTCCTCCTTCTCCCATGGCAACGCAGAGAGGATGTCAGGCAGGAAAAGAACAGCCAGAAAAGACGAACTCCAGATACACAGATTCCCCACTGGCAAAAAACATCTCACCGCCAGTGAGATATGGGCAAGATGGATGTTATACTCAGACAACTTCTCTCCAGAAAGGGGCATTCACTAAGATAACCAAAAGCCACCTGGACCTGACAACATCAGAGGGGCAGCAATCGCCTGCAGGCCAAGCCCTCAGCCACCATTCTCCCCAAGATTATTCTTCTGTGGTCAGAGAACAGACATTCCCCCGAGAATCTGGGTTCTCAGCACAGTACTTTCAGGTTGTTGCCACACTCCCCAGCCCAGGAAGTATCTTTGCAGCCAAAGGCCTGTGCTTAATGTCCTTGACCATCGGTCAAGAGGGAGAGGGACGACTGAGGCAGCCTTCAGTGCCCCTTCCTCTTGGAGGCAGGTCTGTCAGAGCCTCTGTGTTGGTCTCTGGGCTGTACAGGTTTGCCTTCCTCAGGGGAAGTATGGAAATGGAAATCAGACCACAGCCCAGCAGCTTGAAGAAAAGACAGCTTTCCCTGCAGCAGCGCCGTGATCTCAGGTCTCCCTCCCCCGCCACCCTGCCCCCACATCCCACCCTTCTCCTCTGCAGTCTTTGCAGGAGAGAAACTCATGAGCACCTGGCTCTGCCCCCTCCACAGCGGACCTCCAGAGTGCCATTTGATGGTAGCTAGCCAGAGGGCTTACTGCAGCCTGGCCAGAGTGGTGCCTGTCCACACCTCCTTGCTCCTGCTCTGAAGCCCAGAGAGCCTGGGGCTAAGGGTGTCTTCCTTGGTTTCACACAGAGCCACACTAAGCTGAAAGCCCGCCAACAGAATGGAGTCGCTCTTCTTTAATGACCGTCACCGTCACGGCTGACACAGGCAGCCAGCATCCTTCTTTTGTTCTGAGGACATGAGTCTGCTCAAATCAATTGGTGTTCTCTTCTGGCCTAACTCGTTTGGCTCCAAAAGCGAGTTCATATGCTGCCGGGGATTAAGAGGGACCGGAGAGCAGAGTTATTTAATAATTTATCAGAACACAAACTTGAGCATCCAAAAATCCTTGAACACAATCATGTGCCCTCCTACAGACACAAGAAAAATCACTGATGCACAGCCAGTAGGATATACTTGGGTCGTTCTTCTCATAACCTTAATAGTTTGTTCTAAACCAGTAGCTTCCAAACCCAACTCATCTGCCAAATATCCCAGAAAGGTTTTGAAATATATAGATACCCAGAGGCCCAAGGCCAAATGGACTGAATCTCCAAGGAAGAGCCCTGAAAACTGCTTCTTAAAAAAAACAACAACAAAAAAAACCCAAGTTACCATAGTGACCTGCCCTGGTCACTCAACTCTTAATTAGCACCTTTAGAAGCACAGATGAGTGACCTGGAGATCAGATGCCATTTCTGCAAGGAATGATCTTTTCCTCTGGGCAGAAACTTACAGTTTCTCTGAACGCCTCCTTGGAAGGCAGGGCTGGGCCATTTTTTCTGTTTCCTCTCATTAACCTATCCAGATGGAGCCCTAAGGGACCCCTTAGAAACAAAGTCTCTTTTCCTACCGAGAGAAGGAAATCATTATAATTTTGTTGATACATGCTGAAAGGCTGTATGTAGGCACACAGTTCTCCCAGGCTTCCGAACATCCTGTGCTGGTTGAAAAGGGTTCCAAAACGGTGCATGGTTTTATAATCTTGGGTTAGGTAAAACAGCAAAAGCAGAAATCCAAAAGATAAATAAATTTGACTACATAAAAGCTAACTTTTATGTATTAGAATACAATGTAAATAATCTGAAATGGTCCAAGAAGGGGGGGCAGATTTTGCAACATACAGGCAGACAAAAGACTGCTATCTTTAATAAATGTCTTTAGAAATCAATAAAAAATGGGCAAAGGACATGAACAGGCAGTTGATGAGAGAATAAATGAAATGGTCCATGAAAAAATGCCACATGTCAGCATGGATTTTAAAATGTACAGATTAATGCAACATTACAATCCCATTTTTACCTCTCAAGCTGACAAAGGAATTGGTTAATATCTAGTATACTTAAGGGTCTGAGAAAATGGGCGCTCTCATTCAGACCAGGTGGGAGCAAATTAGTACAAGCTTCCTAGAGAGTTCATAGCAATATCATCTGTCAGGATAGGTGAGGTTCTGCTGCGATAATGAAGAGCCTGCATGCAGATCACTGTGCTTTCAATAAGAGCACGTATTTCTCATTCATGCTACTTGTCCATCATGGCAGAGCTCTGCTCTGCCTCATCTTCACACCAGCACCCAGGCCATAGAATAGCCTCTATCAAGAACACCATCCGTCTTATAGAAGATGAAAAGAGAGGTGGCAAAACATGGGCTGGCGCTTAAAGCTTCTGCCCAGAGGGTTTAACATGTCCACTCACATTCCACTAGACAAAGCAAATTATGTGATCACCCTGGAGGAATAGAGCAGGAATATGAAATCTAGCCTCAGGGAGAGGCAGTCCTGGGAATGAACTGGAAAATGTGGCGAGTAATCACCCAACACACGTTCTCCTTGCTTGATGATTCCAACTTCTAGGACTGTATTATCAGAAGCAGTCATGATGTTCAGAAAGTTTATGTACAACGAAACCCTTCATGACATAATTTACAGTGGCAAAAACTTTTAAACAGCATAAGTCTGCAAAAGAAGAGGACTCAAACACGTTAAGCCACATCTCCATGATTGAGTGGCACAATCACAATTCATTGCAGCCCCCAACTCCCAGGCTCAAGTGATCTTCCTATGTCAGCCTCCCGAAAAGTATTCATACTATAGGCACATGCCATCACGCCCAACTGATTGTTGAACTTTTTTTGTAGAGACAAGTTCTCACTATGTCGCCCGGGCTGGTCTCAAGCTCCCAGGCCCAAGAGATTCTCCCACCTCCACCTCCCAAGCTGCTGGGGTTACAGGAGTGCGCCACCATGCCTCACTGTATTCTTCTACAAATAGAATATACATTCACATGGGAATATATCTAAGATGTTCACTAGAGGGAAAAATCTCTGTAAATAATGTGATCCCAGTTATGTAAAAATGAGTGATCTATATATATGTATGAGTCAAAGTACTCAATAAATATTTGTCAAGTTAATAAACTAAACAATACTGGAAAGGTGTTTGTCAAAATATTAACATATCTCAAGATATGAAGATAGGATTCTGGGAAATTTTCTTTTTTGTTTCCTTATATTTTTCTCTTTTTTGCAATTAACATGTTTTACTTCCATATTATGGTCATATATGCATATATATATTATGTATATATGTGTGTGCATATATATATCAAGTTTTCACTGCGATACATTTAAACAAAGGCAAAAGGAATATGAAGGGAAGCAGGTATTTTCTTTGCAAGAAACCACAATAACAAGGTCGTTCTGTCTTTTAGGGTCTCTGGTAGCCAAATCCCATAAAAATACGTGCTCTTTTCTTTGGTCTTACTCTTTGCAGTCTATAAATTATTTAGAAGCATATAAATTATTATTATAATAATTATTAGGAGCATCTAACTGACCACTTTGTCTCCACCTTCTCACTCCTCTTTCCCTGGATTTCAGCCACAACTATGTCCGTGGGTCCATTACGCTCTTCATTATCAACCTGCATCGATCAAGAAAGAAAATCAAACTGGCCGGGACTCTCAGAGACAAGCTGGTTCACCAGTATCTGCTGCAGCCCTATGGGCAGGAGGGCCTCAAGTCCAAGTACGTGCTGACCTGAAAATAGCTCAGGTTCAAATGCAGCAGGAGCAGGGCCGGCGGGGGGCTGGAGTCACCCTTTGCTGAGGCACCAAGGTTGCTTCTGAGTCCCTCAAGGGCTCAGTGGGAGGGTGACAAAGCGTGCTCTGGAGTCAGGGGACTGATGGCTCCTTTGGGAGCCTGGTCAAGCCACCAAGGTTGCAGCAAAACAGTGAGTAATCCTGTCTCTAGTCATCGTGTCCTCCCTGCCTCTGGGCTTGGAGACCTCCATTGTAAAGTCAAATGGTGGAGAAAATATTTCTCAGCAAGATACTCCTGGTATTTGAGCAAGACAACTCTTCATTACACAGGTTGGTCACTCTGTAAGCTATTTACAGTGTCCTTGGCCCCTGCCCACTAAATGCCAAGAGCGCCCTGTGGTCACGTGACAACCAAAAATCCTAGTAGTCAAGAACCGTGTGCCTTCCACCTATGGCACACGACAGTGCCACACCTCCCTTTTTGTTACCATCCAGAGAACTCATGGGGCCTAAAGGAAGGAGCACTGGTCAAAGGCTCCACAATCAAGAGTCAGTTCGGCCCCTACTTCATGACTTTGGGCTCATCACTGTTGGGTCTCAGTTTCTTCATCTGGACAACGGGAAGGAGGGTGCATTCGGGGGGCTCTGTGACCTCTTCAAAACTCTACACATAGCCCTCTGTGATACTCCTCCCTCCCGCAGTCTCTACTAGAGGCTGTTGACAACATTGGTGTCCACCAAGAGAACAGCACGAGACCTCAGCAAGAAGGATCTAGTCAAGGGCCAGGCCAGCCGGCTCCCCGAGCAAGGCCTCCTGGGAAGAGTCTGGGACACGGCACAGACCAGGGACGTTCCCATTCCGTTTGTAACGTTTACCAAGTTTAACAAAGCTGTAAACTCTCAGCAGGTGGCTCGCACTCCAGCAGCTGCCCACAAATATTTGTGCTGTGATTACTCACTGTTTTGCTGCAACCTTGGTGGCTTGCATTTGGCTTCCAACTCTATGTGCAGTGGGAACAAAAGGCAATCTGGGATGTCACTTACCGAGTCTCCTTGGCCCATGCTCGGTCCGCGCTTTCAGGCTGGGTTCACACACCGCCTCTTTTTCCTGATGCACATCGCATCTGCTTCTTTCTTCTCAGTCCCACCTATGTCAACAGGACTCTGAAGTATTTGTCCTCTCTCTGCACTGCTAAGCAGCTCATAATGGGTGTGCTGAGTTCCTGGGCTCCATCCCGGGCAGGAGACCCAGCTCTGATCCCACCTTTGCCACTAAATAATCATATGACCTGGGCATTTTTCTTTCTACCCTAATCCCTTGACCTCATTTTCGTTATCTGCAGAAGTCAGGGTTGGCTGTGCATTTGGTAAGGTCCTGTCCAGCTCAAACATTCTTATCCTGGGTCTGATTTTCTGAAGACCACGAGTGCATTTAAGTCTCCTACTGTCATTCAGTAATGACCTGAAGAGCCACTTCCAGCAAAGGCGCTGACTCCATGGCAGCAATTAGGGTCCCTGGTTAGGGTCCTCTGGGACTGAAGAGTTTAAAAGCTGAGCCCGCCCAACGTCAGGAAGACCATGTGTACCGCGTGGAGGGGACGGGCCTAGTGCTTTAGTCTAACAGGCCAAGGCATCCGTCCCTGCTCTGCCACTCACTGGTTGTGTGTCCTTAGACAAGTGGTGTAACCCCCATGAGCCTCAGTTCCCTCACCTGCAAAACCACCCATGTGTAGCAGAGTCGATGAGGTCATACGTGTGCAGCTCCTGACATACAGCATATGCTCTGTAAGAGTCCACTGCCTTCCTGTCACTCGACTCAGAACTCCAGCTGGTGAGAAAAGAGCAGGGAAACGACTGCTCTCTCTAGGAATGTTCTTCACAAGAGGCATCTTCTCAGATTGTTAAGATAATGTGTTGGCGAGACTTTTAAGATTGTGAGGAAAAACCCTGCTAAGAATTACAGGAAAGCAGAACTCTAAAACAGGAGGAGAGGGTAGCCCGCCTCCCCACCAAGCGAGGGCACAGGCCTCCAACCGAACTCCGCCCATCTGTGTCTCTGCCGCCAAGTGGTCCCCCCACTCTTTGAACCTGGCCACACCTTGGCCCCTATCCTTTCTTTACCTGTCCAATGGGTGACCGAAGTGACTGACTCTCACTGGCTAGCGATGTGCTGTGCGTTTAAATTTTGCTGTCACCATATTAGTGAGGGGTTGTGTTACAACTTGGTTGAGAATGTAGGATAGAGGGAAGGACAAAGATAACTTAATTCCAGAGGGATCCTTACTAAGGATCTGGGAATGCGCACTGATGTCAGATGCCAACGTCGTGCCACGAGAACAACACTAGCGCTGGAGTCCCAGGGCCTGGATCTGAATCTAGATGCTACTATGTGTCTTTGTGATCAAACCTCAGTTTCCTTAACTATCGAATGGGATCACTGTGAGAATCAGATTGGAGGCTATGGTTGAATTAAGGCCTTCTGCTCCCACGCATACACAGGCGTCTATAAGTATACATGCAGATGCACAGGTCATGGTTTTACGTACGTTATGTTAGAGCCCTTGAGGTAAGAATTCAAGAGAACCGGATTCCAGGCCTGACCCTGCCACCCACTCCCTGTGAAACTCTCCGCTCCTCTGAGCCTGTTCCTCTCCTGGGAACTACTGCTATGTGACACCTCTCCGATGCTACAGCGTATGGCCCAGGCCCAGGCTGTGTCCTGGTGGACTGTGAGCTGCCAGACACGAGCAGGACGGCCAGATGCACGTTCAGTGCCACGTCCTGCACTCTGCTCAGCAGCGACTGGAGCGAGGGCCCTCGGTGGTCTGGGAGGGTCTCACAGGAAGGGTGTGGTCTCAGCAAAGCCCACCATGTGGAGGAGGATGATAGGCCATGCCAGGAAGTGATGTCAGTCTCTGGTGTCTCTCTCTCTTTTATAAGCCTCTGGGCCAGACTCTGTGTTCTGTGTCTGCAAGCTCCTTGCTGCAGCCTGAAGCCATATTCGCTCAGAAGGGGATGGAAAGTTCTGGAAGCAGGGGACTGTGAAATTGCTCCTGTCTGGAGGAACCAGGAAGAGGATATGGAGCATTCAAGCCACCAGTTGTGCATTTTGGTCTGGGGTTTCGGGAGCAGGGAGGGTCCAGAGGAGTTTTTTGGTTGCTTGATGACACGGGGTGCCTCTCATTCTCTCAGTCTTGCCGTCAGGGTTGGAAAATTTGAAATCTCTGAAAGGGCATCTCCACACGAACTTGGGACTGAGGCATGTCGGGTATCGCACGGGAGGCACCCTTGGGCCACGAGTCGGTCATAGTCGAGGCAGCCAGGTTCATGGGAAGCTTCCTATTTCCCTTCTCGGCGAGCAAACCAGTCGTAGACCCCCTGCCCAGCCCCAACTCCTGATGCAAAAGGTTGTTTTCATTCTAGGACCAGACAGAAGGTGGGTGCACTCTGTCCCATAGGATGGAAGATTTAGTAAACGGCCATGTGTGCAGAGAAGGGTATCTTGCATCTGGGGTGCGTCTTCTTTGGGGACTGGCTGAAGGAAATGGGGAAGCTTAGTTTGGAGAAGAAAGGGAAGGTAAGTCGTGAGGGCTTTCTTCAGAAGGCTGCCAAGTGAAATGAAACAGATTTGGCCTAGAAGACTCCAAAATGACAGAAAACCAAGGAGTGCAATTTAAAAGAGAGAGATTTAGCTTCAAAATGAGCTCGAAGGTCTGCCTGGCCTGGCTGAGGTCAGGACAGGCATCCTCAGGAGGTAGCCTATTAATCAGAGGGTGAGCGGCCCCCTCGGAGGGGTGGCAAGAGTCCTTCCTCAGTGGGAGGTTGTGGAGAGATCACTGCTTCCCTTTGAGCTCTGAAATTCTATTATCCCTCCCCCCCCCATTTTCTCCACTTCCACTTCATTTTTGAACCCTGTGGCCTGTGTGGTCACCAGAAAAGTAACTTCCTCAAGCCCCCAGAAGGTCACACAAAAAGGCTCTGTGACCAGAGGGAGTAGTGGTAGTATCTGGCTAGTTTTTTCCCAGAAAAACCCCAGCTCGTGGTTCCTCCCTCACCATGTTCCCCGGTTTCTCACCCTTCTGGGAGGAAGATGGCTCCATTGACACCCAGAGCAGTAGGTTCCAGTCACAGCTCCACCATCTGTGGAAGAATCTGCCCATTGCCTCACGTGATCACAAATAATAAATGTTGTCCTCTAGGGCAGTGGTCCCCAAACTTTTTGGCATCGGGATCAGTCTATGGGAGATAATTTTTCCACGGATGGTGTGGGAATAATGGGGGTGTATAAATCCTCAAGCATTAGGTTCTCATAAGGGGCGCAACCTAGGTCCCTCGCATGCGTGGTTCACAAGAGGGTTCACGCTTCTATGAGAATCTAATGCCGTGGTGGGTCTGACAGAAGATGGAGCTCTGCTCGCCAGCCACTCACCTCCTGCTGTGCGCACAGTTCCTAAGAGGCCACAGAGTGGCACCAGTTCACGTCCCAGGGATTGGGGACCCCTGCTCTAGGGAATCGTCTCCTCCCGAGACATAAATGTCTCCAATGTCCTTTAACAAACAGAGAAGCAACATGAAGTTGGGTCAAACAAGTCCACTTATATCCAAGCACAGAAGGACTCACTTTTCCAGGGAAAAGTCAAACTGAGAAGATGTGCTAGTTCAGACCCCAGTGTTCCTCCTTATGTGTCTTGTTCAGTTTCATTTAGAGGGAAAATTCTCCAAAAATCAGAAAAGAGAGAAACAGCTTCTTTCACGCCGGCTGCTCTGTCCTGACACATGGGCAGGAGGGAACCAGCAGACACCAGAATCAAGTGTTATGTTGAGGTGATCTGGTTCTTTCTCCCACCTTCAGCCAGCCTCTGGCTGAGCCACCCAGACCAGGGGATGCCCACATTTAAGACCTCTGGGAAAGGAGTGACAGTTCCACAGTTTCGATCCTGCCTGAACACTTAATTGTATTAGAACCCTGGGGCCCACCGTACCCAT